AGCAGCTGCGGCAGCAGATGCATCTCTTCTGTCACTTCTTTGCGCCCCTATTTATATTTCACATCTCAAGTTAGAATACTATAATTTGAGTTGCTTCGATTTGAGCTGTCCAGACACTTCGCGCAGCAGCAGCAGCAACAACAGCAGCAGCAGCAAATGCAGCAGCAGCTGCTGCACGTGCAGCAGCTGCTGCTGCTACTGCTGCTTTCAGCTGCTTTCAGTGCGGCAGCTGCGGCTGTGTTTCTTTTTCAGGTGTTATTTCTTTGCCGACGATACTACAGAGTGGCAGCAACAGCAGCAGCAGGCGAGCAAGAAGCAGCAGCAGCAGCTGCTGCTGCTGCTGCTGCAGCCCCTGCTATGAACGTATAGTTATTTTGATGAAGTGATGTCCCAACTACAGACAAAGGTGCTGTTACTGCTGCTGTTCCTGCTGCTGCTGCTAGAGACACTGCACCAAGCACAGCCGCAGTTGCGGTAGCGGCAACAGCAATCTAGTGCCTGCTGCTGCTGCTGCTGCAGCAGCAGCTAGAGAAGAGTGGTGTAAATATTAGTTATAGCAGCAAGAAAGTCCTGGCTCCAGTCTGCTGCTGCTGCTGCTGCTGCTGCAGCTAGAGGAGAGTGGTTTGAGTAGTAGTTAGAGCAGCAAGAAAGTCCTGGCTCCAGTGTCTGCTGCTGCTGCTGCTGCTGCTGCTCATTTGTGCTTCTCTTCCCCTGTAGCTGGGCTGGGGTGTATCGACACCTTCATGGGCGAGCGACAGCGCGTACACCGCATCATCTGCGGAAATGAAAAACGAAAAAAATAAGTTAAATTTAAATTCAATTTTATTTATTATTTTAATTTTATTTATTATTTTGCATTTTAAAAATAATCAAATCATTTATATTGCATCTGCAGCTGCTTTCCCCGTCGCGGGAGCCTCGAGGCAGCCACTGACATGCGAAGACCCTAAACCCTAAACCCTAAACCCTAAACCCTAGGAGACTTACTTGGCATTGAGGACATTTCGGGGGCAAAGGCCGCCGGAGGAGCTGCTTCTCGTTCGTCGCAGTCTTCCATGGGGCCATATACCCTAACCTGCGCCAAACCCTAAACCCTAAACCCTAAACCCTAAACCCTAAAAGACTGTCGCTGCCTCTCTAGTGCTTCCCCCACCCAAACGCTAAACCCTAAACCCTAAACCATTTCCACTTGTCGAATATGCATGTCTCTGCCTTGCCGGTGCTTCGGCCGACCAAACCCAAACCCTAAACCCTAAACCCTAAACCCTTTTTACTTGTCGAATATGCGTGTCTCTGCCTTGCTGGTGAGTGGAAAGAACAGAAATTTGGAGACAAGCAGCTCTGAGATATTCAGGTGTATGTACACCTGGAAGGGGCAAACTCAGCAACTCGTCTTCTGCACTTTCCAGGCCATTTGCTTCCTGCACAAATGTTCTTTTTTTAACCATTTATTTTAATTATTTACTTTAATTGTTTAATTAATTATTCATTTTAATTGTTTTTCATTTTAATTTAATTGTTTATTTCAGTTTAATTGTTTACTTTAATTTGGTTATTCGCTTTTGGTTGAATTATTTGTTTTGAATTAAATTGTCTGCTTTTGATTTGTTTGTTTTAGATTATTTGCTTTCAATTTGATTGTTTGTTTTCATTTTAATTCCTTTTTTTCATTTAATTATTTATTTTAGTTTAATTATTTGTTTTGAAATAAAAGGTTTATTTTCAATTAAAACATTTATTTTAAATTCAAAGACTTGTTTTAAATTAAATGATTTATTTTAAGTTAAATGATTTATTTTAAGTTAAATGATTTATTTTATATTGAAAGATTTGTTTTTTGCATTGAAAGATTAATTTCAAAAAAATATGTTTTAAATAAAAAGAATTAGCTTTAAAACAAAGGAGGCATTTCAAATTAAAATGATATTCTTGAAAACAACAAAAGTTTTTAAAACCACAAAGATATAATTTTAAAGAAAAAAGATTTTTTGAAAACAAAAAGTGTTTTTGAAGAGAAAAGATTTTTTGTTTTTGAAGAAAAGTTTTTACAAATAAAGTTATAACTCAAACAAAGAAGATATAATTTTAGAAAGTTTTTTTAAAAATAAAAAATATTTAAAAAGAAGAAATACTTAAAAAGAAAAAAGATTCTTCAAGAATTAAAAGGAGACATTTAAGACACAAAAGATTTATTAAAAATAAAAAACTATATTTTAAATAAAAAGAAATACTTTAAAAGCAAAAAGGATATTTAAAAGATAAAAAGCTATTTAAAAGGAAAAAATATTAAAAAAAGAAAAACATTTAAAGGACAAAAGATGAAAAGTCTTCATACTATTACATCTTACCATTTTACCCTTTTAGCCATCTATTTAATCCAATTTTACCCTCCACCTAGGGTTTAGGGTTTAGGGTTTAGGGTTTGGGGTACCTTGAGTGCATGCACTGCGTTGAGTTCAATTCCCCACCAGCAGTTTTGTTCATCTGCTGCAGCGAATTCCACATCTCTTACTACACGCAGAGTTGCGGGGCAAGACCCTGCACGCAAACCCCAAACCCTAAACCCTAAACCCTAAACCCTAAACCCTAAATTCTAGACCCTAAACCCTAGACCCTAGAGGCTAGGCCCTACACAGTGTGCGTTTGGCCTTGTAGCAAGGGGGCCGCGCGTTTGTCGGTGTAGCGCTGCGGCGTTAGGGTTTAGGGTTTAGGGTTTAGGGTTTAGGGTTAGGCTGCGCCGTTGCTGCTGCTTCTTCGCATTCCTCCTACATCAGCAAATGGGAGGGAGTCTCGTGCTGCGGGTTTGAGGGTTTAGGGTTTGCGTAGGGTTTGAAATCTAGCCAGGGTTTAGGGGCCCGCGTTTACCTCCAGTCTAGGGTTTAGGGTTTAGGGTTTAGCTAGGGTTTAGCTTCGGGGGCTTCCCCGGGGCTGGTTTGAGCGCGTCGCCGGGCGTTGGGGCGCGGCCCTGGCTCGCGCCCGCTAGGGTTTAGGGTTTAGGGTTTAGGGTTTAGGGTTTACCGAGTTTGATTTGGACTCTTTTGGGAGTGTAACTTTCGTCCAAATGCAAATTCAACAAAATATCCACTCGGGCAATTTTCAACTCCTTGTTGAACTGTAGAGACACCGCGTGCGGAGACAAACCCTCGGACTGCCAAAAGGTGCTGCTGCTGTTGTCCCGCAGCGCCGCCACGCCGTTCCCTGCAAACCCTAAACCCTAAACCCTAAACCCTAAACCCTAAACCCTTAACCCGGAACCCTGGGTGCTGGACCCGCACCCGAAGCCGCACGGGAAACGTCAGAGCTGCGCCCTCAATCCCAAGCCCCATGACCCCATACAGTAAACCCTAAACCCTAAAGCCTAAACCCTAAACCCTAAACCCTAAACCCTAAACCCTAGAGCCTAAAGCCTAAACGCTGGAGGGGGCGAAGGGGGTCCAGATTATGCGGGGGGAGAGCAGGGCTGAAGGGGGTTTGGGGTGTAAGAATTAGGGTTTGGGGTTTGGGGTTCAGCTGGAAATTAGGGTTTAGCTAGGGTTTAGGGTTTTGAGCTTTGCAAGGGTTTAGAGCTGAGGCTGTATCTGGCTCGTAGCCCGCGGGTCTCCCGCTGCAGCAACGCTCTCAACACGACGGCTCAAAGCCTAGGGTTTAGGGTTTAGGGTTTAGGGCTTAGGTTTAGGGTTTAGGGTTTAGGGTTTAGGGTTTGCCTTCTCTGGCGGAGCTGAGGGTCCAGGCAGCAAGGCCTCCAATTTCTCTCCAGCTTCTTTTCAACTCCAACGTAAAAGGCAAATCCACATCGCAGAAGAAAAGAGGGTACTGCAGCATCAGCAGCGAAACTGGCAAACCCTCGCTGCTGCTGCTGCTGCTGCTGCTGCTGCTGCTGCTGCTGGGGGCCTGGCTCGCGGCGCCGGGGGCCCCGCAGGCCCGCGGGGGGCCCCCAGAAGAGCCCTGCGGGCTAAAAGGTGACCCTGGGGGGCCTTCCGGGGGGCCCCCCGGGGGGCCCTCTTGGGGGGCCCCCACAGCTGCAGCAGCGGGGGACTCTGCGGGAGCCCCCTGGGGGGCCCCAGGGGCCCCTTGGGGGGGCCCCTGGAGGCCCCTCCTGGAGCAGCAAAGGCTGCAGCAGCCGCGGGAGCTGCCGCTGCAGCAAAAGGCACATGAACCCAACGCAGCGGGGGCCCCCTTATGCTGCGCTGCATGCAGCAGGGGGGCCCCCCAGAGGCAACAGGGGCCCCTGGGGCCCCCGGGGGACCCCGGGGCCCCCGGGGCCCCCAGGGAAGGGCTAGGGGGGCCCCCCTCGTCGTCTGAGCTGATGGGGGGGTCTCCCCACTCTGACTCAATCATAAGAAAGACGGGAGAAGCAGATTGAAAGCAGCAGCA